TGAGTTAAATTCAGCAATAGTGGAGAAAAGGAAGTAACAAAGGATAGACAAAATTAATTTTTTTGAAGTCAAGATAACAGTTCAAGGAAGTGGGGGGTCAATTCTTGATAGCGTCTATCGCGAAGTTCTTTAGCCCATGAATTCCACAACCAGCAAGGGCTCCTTTCTCATAAAGCCCCTGTAACTTCATAAGCCCGATGTCGTATTTATAGATATATAAAACTACGGAAATATGATATGTGTTCCCTCAAGCACTATTCGATCCTGTTTCTTCCCCTGACATATTTACCGTTTGAACTTTAAATCTGTCAAAGTGGAAAAAAGAAAAACAGCGTAGGAATGAGAGTGAACAACGGGAAAAATTCTAAGTGGGTAATTCAATACCAAAACACGTTTAATAAAAAAAGTTAATTTCAATCCAGTTGTTAAGTTAATAAAACCCTGAGAAGTCAGTAGCACATAAATTCCATTGACAACTGAATGTAAAATCGCGCCTTTTTACCTCTCGCTGTGGACTGTCCGCAATTTCCTTGACAAACTGACCAACCCACCCCTCCTTTCTTGTACTAGCACTGGCTTCCACACTCTAACCAGTTTTAAACTGCAACTAACAGATTAAAAGGACTTCTTTTTTTACCACAGAAACATAACGTGCCCTTTGACAACTCTTTTACGGCAATATCACCAATTTCTGTGCCAATACAACAATATGGCAAAACGAATAGCAACATAATTAATTCAGGCTATAGTATTAATTTCGTGATTGGAAGGAAAAATTCTAATTTTTTCGACAGATTCCCAGTAAGAGCCATATCATATCTTTTCAAAACTTGCCTACATTTGGTTTGTGGGTTAGCCGGCCAGTTTTTCGTTCTTATCTGCACCAATAATAATCCGCTGTGCCTTCATTCTTGATGTGAAAAAGATTGGAAAACCAAATTTATTATGTAAACGTTGAAATGCTTACCACTGGCAAGATAAATCTACAGAATATCATGAAACTGTTTAGTATTCAATTCTCTGATCATGGAAAAGAAAACTGCGTCAAAGCGCAACTTAGAAAAAAGGTAAACATAGCGCATAATTATTACCAAACGTCTGTGGTCAATACGAAGTATTTCACATTTCATGAAATATTTATCCTTATCGTATGTAACAGGTTTCGAAACCTCGTTCCGTAAGCAGCTTCCGAGGGTGAAATAAGCAGCAAGGACCTTTAGCAAACCACGACGAGGACGGCAACGAGGACGTGGCAAAATAAAAGATCTAACTGGTTGAATATAACCAGCACGTGGGTTTAAAACTTTGTACATTTCTTAGCCGTCCTCTGCAAAACAACAACGAGAAATCACCAAAATTTGCGTCGTCAGCAAACGGAAGCCGCGACGGCTATGCTGATATTGAGGCGTGGCACCGTAAGAAACGGTCAACACATGCAGCCATTTTCGAAATTCCAACTAAAAATAGAAATTCATTTTTCAATTTATGTCTTCTTTGGCGTTGCCGTCTTGACTGCTAAAGGTCCCTTATAGTGCCCGTTTAAGTGACAGTAAGGCGAAACCCAAACACGAGAGCCTGCTTGCGGGCTCAACAGAGAGCGGTAACAGGACTTACAGGTGGCGATAACCGACTTTTACGGAAACCCCTGATTTCACCTTAAAATAAATGATACATTAAAGAGATACGAGTTAACATGAGTGGATTGGCAGGAAAATATCGTCGCTAAAGCAGGTTTTGTCTCAATCGAGCACGAAATGAGATTAGCGAACTCGACTATGATTGTTAGTTCAAGGAGGTGGCTGCTGCTGTTGCTGTTGCTGTTTTTCCCACCACCAACCTCTTCCTTTTCCACCAGAGTCAACAATTTCTGGTTGCACACTAAATGGAGGCATTTCTCCATCCATCCCAACACTCACTCCCCGACCCCCCCTCCCTAAGCTTGCAGGGATGTCGCCGGGTTTGGCCAGGATAATTGGAACCTGACTACCAGGTGCTTTGTCGAGACCTGATCCTGCTGGTAGACCTGTCATCTCTGGGGAGTGTGAACTGTACGGCTGCCCGTTAAACTGCATCTGTGGGGACTGAGGCACGCCAGGTATCTGTCCAGGCAGATTATGTGCATGTAATGCTCCGTGCACTGGAAGTCCTGTGGCTAATCCATCCGTAACGAGCGCCTCTATGTCATTTCCGCCATCACCCCGTCCGCGATTCATGATGGGAATGTCATTCCCACCATCTCCTCCCTCTCGAACCTGAGTAATATTAGTCGTCTTCTTTGGTTTTGCTGGTTGTTCCACGTAACCAATGCTTCTGTCATATTCTTTATCAACTTCCACTGCCCAAGTCACATTTCGGGTACCAGCACCTCCGCCGCGTTTTCCACGGGTACCCCAAAGACTCCCACGGCCCCGTCTGCCAGGTCTGCCCATCTCCACGCTAGATGGACCTCCAACCACGATGCGATCCCTATCGCTGTAGCCACGCCCTGCTTTGTTACCTGACCAGCGAGCAATAGGAACACCTGCCACTTCTACCTGGCCTCCCAGACCAGATACGGGTTGCTTGCTGTTTGGGCCGCGCCCACGCCTCAGGTTTGTGCCCATCGCTTGCATGTGATGTGGGATATTGGCTCCAGCTGGAAAGAAGTTCGGCATCGGAACACTTTGAAGAGCTGGCGGTACAGGGCCAAAAGTAAAAGGCACCGGTGTGGGGAGCAAACCGTCGCCGCGATGACCTGGAAAATGTGGCAACAATCCGACAGATGGCAACCCAGGGTTAAGACTGAAGTCTTGAGGTAAACCTTCAGTGATGCACCATCTCATTCTCTGGAGCTTTTCTACTCGTCCGCTCTGAAAACGAAGAGAATAAAGATGACTGTTTTCTTCAAGACAAATTTTGATTCTGGGATTCTTAGTTCAGCAGGTTAGCTCTTCCAACGAGACAAGTGGCCAGATGAAAAAGCGGCAATCACCGGCTAGATTTGTGGCCGGAGATCGCTCTGTAAAGCACAACGTGCACTTCTGAGGTTACCTATCTTCAATCGTTCGATACCGAACGCTATCGTCTTTTTGAAAAGATTTTAATATATGCCTGACTAACCTGAGTGTTAGTGACACTTCGTCAAGTAAATTAATTGAAATGAAACGTTTTTTTGAGTACTTTTTATCGAGACTTCTTACTGTTTTGTACGTCCACCATTTTGTAGACAGGAAGCTTAGTAACCTCGCATTCTAGCTTTGAGGCACCATCTTTTACATTTCACCAGCACACCTAATTCCTTAGCTGAAACCCTGACTAACCTTGGGGCCAATGTATCTCTCACAATTTCAGAGTTAATTAGTGCATAGATCATTGTAAAGGCATAATGTTGGAGGTATGATAACCTTACAGCAATACCAAACAGAAAGTAGCATATAAATATCTCCAGTTAAAAGATACTCGAAATTTTGAAGAAAGAAAACTCTTGACTGGATTATTTAACATCAAGACCAAACCATTTCTCTCTAAAGCTAAAACATTTGTGGTTTTGCTGTACCTTTCCATCACACAGTTCAAGAAGCGAGGCATTTTCCGTCACCATTAGATACTTGCTGTGGAAGAGTTTACCATCAAAGTAATTCCAAGGACAAACAAGTTCCCAAGGAATGGGAACCGCACAAGCATCATTGGCAAAAATGGCAGCTTGAACGCCGCGCATAAAAATGGAAGCAAGCTGGACGGCACGCGCGTCTACACGTTGGAGCTTTATCTCTCTCAAGTTTGTAGCATTGCACTCTGTTGTTAAATGAGGAGACAGGGATTGGGCAAGGAAAGCATCCAGCTCTCGCGCTGACAACACCATACGACCGTGTGACATGAGATATCTGACACAAGAAAAGAAGACACACGTAAACATCAGCATTGAATATCACTTCTAGAAAAATACTTTGAGACTGACATTTAACCTTGAACCGTTAGACCAGCATGCATACTCTTCCTACAGCACTTGACAAGGAGGATTTAGCTAAAAAATCAAGAGCTTTTCAAGTTTGCGATCATTTTCCTTATTTTTGTGTGGACAAATTAGATCTCCAAGTCACTCTTAGGGGTTTAGGAGTTAACTATTTACCCACAGATAGAAACTGTTTGCAAACAGTGATAAACCAAATAGATGTGGCTATTTTTTCCCAAAATCGTTTCTTCCAAAGTTATTTTGAAGCATAAGAAAACTCTGATTTGGTTTGATTTGTGCTCAGATCTCCAAGTCTAACAACCTCTAGAAAGGAACCGATACCCTTTGTCTCACGGAATCTTTAACCCTTTACAACCCAACATCAGTATCTGAGTTCTCCATACTGTTCTCTATTCATTTCCTGTGGTTACCTGAAACGAAAATTTGTCAAACAATCAAGAGCATCTTGAGTTTGCAGTCATTTTCTTTCTTCTCATGATCTTGAAGTTTGATTCAGGGGTGAAATGTTGGGAGAAAGTGGATGCTTATCAGTATTAAGAGATTAAAGGGCTAAAATTACCTTAAAACACAGCACAGGATAACCAATCTCTTAGGCACAATAACCGTCTGAGTCATACTGGGTGTGTCGCTCATCATACACGACAAGAAAGCCTTGAGCCTGTTGTTGTCTGCTGCAGCTCCTTTGCTGAACCACAGTCTTTCAAATGGTGGCACATCCCAGTCAAGTACTAATGGTTCCACAATGTCAGGATCATCTAACCTCCTGCCACCATAGACACACCATTCCTTGACTGCTAAGGTGCTTAGATCAGCTCCTCCATCCTTCCTCTTGGAGGCTATGTCAAACAAGATTCCATAGACCCTCTGACGTACTTTACGAAAGAGCAGTGCCGAGGGCATTCGGTCAGGTGACTGCTCATCTTCAATAGTTGTGTCAACTGTGATCTCTGCTTTGGTAAGAACTTGATAAACTGTTTCTATCATTCTCCCATTTTGAAGAAGCTGTAGAGTGACATCCAGCACACGCTGTGACAGACCTGGGATTGCTCCTTTAAATGTGGGCTCTTCTATGATAAGAACATGAAAATTACAAGGACAGTCCATCAGCATGTGTCTGTGAAAGTTGATATTTATCTCACCACTTTGCACCTCACTAAATATCCACCATCAGTCACATCTACTTCAGTGTATAATTGTTAATTAATGACATTCCTCCAGATAAATGACAAAAAATTAGTTATAACATAACCAAAGTAAACCATGCACTATGATTGGTCAATTCAGCATCCACCATTTGCCCATGGGTGTACACTGCTAATGTGAACAAAGACTATTTTTCTGCGTGAGCTTGTTTTTCTGGTCAAGTAAGATTTGTTAAATAAAAGAAAACTCTTTTGCAACAATGTATCAATGTTATGTTATAAAACAAATGGTAAATGCCACAGAGTACACCATTGAGTTATGGATGCACTTAGGAGGTTTGCTAAGCACTCAAGAAACTAGAGTTGCACTTGACTATCGCCTCACACGACTCTTACACTTCTTTTGCGCTTAGCAACTTCTCGCTTGCGTCCATAACTTAAATCACTCACTGGCCTTAACCATTTGTGAAATATGAATCATAAATAAACCTCATCCCCCATCCTCACAAGTTAAGGTCAGGCAGGATATTTGTACGATTTAATCACAAGCAAGCATCCCAAGCAAAATAAAAGTAGGGCTACATCGGAAGACTCAAAGTTGTATAATCTTAATCACCTATAAAACCATTCCATTATATTTTTCATACAAAAAAAAAAAACATCATTTTGACCCTCTAAAGTTTGCCTCAACCTTGAGTTGGTGGAAGCACCCAACTACAGTAGTAATTGAGTTTGAATCTTGTGGAAGCCTGAATCATTCCAGACTTCTTTTCTGCAATTTCTTAAATCACAGTCTAGAAGTAAGGATTATTTTTTTACTTGATTTAAAACAGGCAGGTCAGATAAAATTTATTTCGTCAAATAATTTTAATGACTATTTTGTCACATCACAGACAAAAGTAAACTTACCTCTTTCCTTAATGTTGTCATTAGAGGGTGTGTGATTAGCAGCTCCTTTCCCAGCTTTGCACATCATTGGTGATGTTTCAGAGGAGGAGGGTGGGGTAGGGAGCACTGATGATGGTGATACTGAGGGATGGGTCAGCAAGGAGCCTTCATGGTTAGGTGAAAGGGGTGGCATGGTAACTTGTAAGTCTTGGGGGTCCCCTGGGGGTGACAATGGTAATGTCTGCATGACAGATGCTTCTGGGGAGTCTTGAACTTGAAGTGTGGATAAATTCTGCTGTATATCGGTGATATCTGGAATTTGCTTTGTGTTGTCATTGTTTTGTGGTAGCTAAACAAAAGTAAAAGAGTGTAAAATGACAAACTTTTAAGAAAGTCCACAAATACTGTAAAATCCAGCCTACACATAATGAACTTGCACTTAAAAGCCCACAAGACGCAAAACAAACTATATTGCAATTTTGGTTGACGCACACAGATAAAGTCCAACTATTGGGTCAAACATCAACCATAATTCCTCAAACCAAATTCAGAGGAGTAAAAACAAATCTTTTGGCCAACAGGATTTCAAATAAAGCAATTTTTTATTTGCTCATAAAGTTTGATTTATGAAAATTTTGACATTTGTTACCAGGTCAATCTTCACAGGTTCTATCCATCCAAAACAGACGGACAGGTGTTGGTTGATACTTATTCTTTTAGACAAACTCTTTCAATTCAAATGTCAAACCTGACATGAGCTTACAGTTTCTGTCAGTTTAGTTTGTCTAATGTGAAGTTTGATGTTTGAACTGGGTCAAAGAACCAATAGAACTCTACTTACAATGACTGCTGTGTTTTTTTGTGGTGGAGTAGCAGGTTTTGGAACAAACTGGTGCTGTTGCCAGTGTTGCCACATCTTTTGATACTGGTATTCATTATGTTTGCGGCCTGTATGAAAACAGAAAAATAACGGTTAAATATTCAGAAAACCTAACCAGTCCTAATTTCATGACAAAACCATTTGATTACCTTTTAATATCATGGGTCACAAATTATGTTCACAACCATAATTGTTTTTACTGGTTATTCTATCGAAAACCGAGAACATAAACAAGAATATAGTTTTAGTTTAAAGCACACCTTGTTAAAGTTCGCAATTTTCTGAGTTTCTTCACAAAAAATACCTTTCGAATTATTCGTGCCTGTTAATAATTTTTGGCCGCTTCTTTTCATTTTGTAACTTCTTTATGGGTCACCGTCTTAAATCTCATCTTGGCTCTGATCGAGATACAAGAGATGTTACCACTGCAATTTTGTAATTTCACATGCGAAATTAAAAATTAACGCTGAAATTTTGTGCCAAAATTAAGGAGCAATTTGTCACCTATGATATTTATACTGATTACCACTCAAAAAGCAGAACATTGTGAGCTTGGAAGAATGCTAGGTTTACATAACATAAGCATCCTGTAAACATTTCACTGCCACCGCCATTACCTGGGCCGATATCAGGAGACTGCGCCACACTTTCCTCTGTTTCAGGACTTGAATAATGTTCCACTGACTTCCTGAGTTTTTCAGTGATATCTGCCAGGTCAACATTTTCTGATCGGAAGACTTGACGTGCAATCCATGGAAGGTTTGACACATCTGCTAGATTCCTTACAAACTTAATTACACTAGAAATGATGATGTCATTTGCTGGGAAGATGGGCTGATGCTTTTCCTTGACCTGAAAATTGTGCCAGATTAGCATTTAATAAAAATCAATAATCAAGAGAAGAATGATGCTCTAGAAATATCCAACCCTCTAAATCCTAACATCAGTACTCATATTCTCCACACTGTTCTCTGTACATTTACTGTGGAATGAAAGGAGAATTTGGTTGACAATCAGAAGCTTCTCAAATTGGTGATCATTTCCTTTATTCTCAGGACCTTTAAATTTGATGGGAAGGTGATACTGTTTAGAGAAATTAAAACCCTGTTACTCTTGAGAATTTAAGGGTTGATATTGTTTGTTTTTTTAACTCTTAAGATCAGATTTTAATTAACCATTCTGGTAGTGATAAACATTTCCTACTCAGAATTTTGTAGGGTCATAACTTGTTGTCTGATAAACATGCTGATGGCAAGGACTTCACTGTAAATAAATCTTGACCACACTATATCATTGTCATAAAATACTGTATCCACACAAATGTCCTCTGCTGATCCCCCAAATTTTTCACATTGATATTTCATGAATGAATTTTTTTTATGGTCAAAGATGTAGCCATATAGTGATCATTTTCACGTTTCTCATAACCTTTTTATTGGATTTTAAGAGAATAATAAAGGGGGAAAGTGTGATAGACACTTGAAAATGAATCAAAGATTTTCAATGAAATAACTCTTGGCTGCAAGGGAATTTCATTTTAAACACAGTAATTGTAATAGATAGCTTTTAAAATATCAATAACTTATTAAAGAAACTGACTGATGTTAGAAAGAGTCAACTCAAGCTTCATCCAAAGGAAAAAATTGAAAACTTGCCACTAAAGTTATTATTTTGAAAATTTCACCAGGGTTCTACTAATAAATTACATTCAGTAATTTAATAAATCATTCATGAAATTAAAAATCAAGACTAACCTGAACTTTTGCTAAAGGATGATCTGGACCTAAAAGATTCCAATAAAATGAACCAAGGTTGTCTTCTGGAATAAAAGACGTACCTAGCAAACTAGCGAACAATCCTAGACGATCGTGGTGCAGTTTCAGTTCGTCGAGGACTGCTTCTCGGTGGAATCGCATCGTTGTAATGTCTTTCTTGGAAAATTTAATGTGATCGGCGGAAAAATAATTCGGAACGTCAAAGAGAAGAAAATCTGCATGATGGCTGATGACACCGTCTAATCCTTCCCCTTGGCAATAAGTCGCCATCTCTTTATGGAGATCGTCCATAGAGGTATACACAGAGACTCCACAGCTAAGGAATGCCAGTCGAAGGCACGTGTCCACAACGGGTGGCGGAAAATATAGTCTTTTTCCAGGATAACAACTAAATTTCATGACATGACTGAGGATTTGCCTCGTTAACTGTCTTTTTTCTTTTTGATTTTTGATCCATTGATGCAACTTAGAGGAATCGCCTTCGCCATCGAAGTAAATCACAATTTCGATATTCTGCTGACGGAATGATCTTGTCAAGTTCTCAACATTTCGTAACATTTCATTCCACTGTCCTCCACAAACCCAATCTAGGGTGGGTCCATAAAGATGTTTTAAACAGCTCCTTGCGTCGACAAGTAAAACCGGCGGCTTGCTTGTGTTGGTCACTTTTTTTCCATGAAGAACAGCTTTCAGATCAACTTGGTCGCAGGCTGTTGGACAGTTTGCTTCGACGTACTCCTGTAATCCTTGGATACCCATCTTAACTCAATGTTTCTAAAGAGAATTTCCCGCAAATTCAACCCCTACGTGGATGAAACATAAAGTTATTCTGTGCCATGTATCTAACACGTGTTCTACACCGCCATATTACACTGCCCTTGCTAAGAAGTCTGGGAGGAGGAATAGTTGAGCGAACGGCCCGGGTATTGATGGGATTCATTTTCGAGCCCAGTGTTCTTACAACTATTTGTTTCTATGGAAACACAAAGCGCCGGAATGGAAGAACACATCAGACAATCAGCTTGAAAAAGCAAGCTCAACCTCAGTCGCTTAAATTTCCGATCTGCTTGGGAAGGCAACATGCCTCGCAATCCTTACCCTTTCCCAAGACTTCAGAATGATAGTGATTTTTATGGACAGCAAGGAAAACAGGTAAACTTCTCCCAAATTTTTCAAATCACGGTAGTCTATTCTCGTGCGATTCCAGTCTCTCAAAAGTTTCAAAATGTTTACTTAGGTGTTTCTGTTACGAGGATCAGTTTTAAGTATGCGGAGTTGCTTCGCCAGCAGTTGAAAAAAAAGTACTGCTACTGTAGGAATGTAGTCTCTTCTTTTCTATCCAAGAACCCGTGGAATGTATTATAAAAAGATAAGAGCCTTTGTTAATATCCTTTAAACAACGACCAGCGTTATCAAACGAAGCTCTGAATTCGCATGGCAACTATTCTGAGAATACTTAAATTGACCACCCAAGCGATTTTCAGGTTCCGCAGATACTGATTTCATCTCTTAAAGTGTCCCTTAAAGTTCATCGTAAACAGCGATTATAAACAATGTATGTTTACACTGGATGTAAGGGCAAGCTACTTCATTATATTATGCGTACAATTCTTGGATAAAAGAAAACAGAGGCAAAACAACAGATTACCTATGGGACTTTGGCTTTGTTTTTGATTGATATGGGGTTATACGGAAATCTTTCCGGATGTAAGTCTTAATTGAAAAGATAAAATAAATAAAAATAAAAAAATAATGTACGATATTTATGAAAAAATCTTTAAATATAGCTAAGGGTCAGTACTCATATTTTCAACTATCGAATTCTTATTTGGTTATCAAGGTAAAAGAGAAGGGAACGTTGATGCAGGGAGGTCAGGAAGGAACGCCGTGGGACAGACTTAACAAAACAGCAACGCTGGCGAGTTCCAGGAGAGAAGTCTTTCATCACGATCCACAGGTGTAATTTCTGTTTAAGTTTACACGAACAGCTTTGCATAAAATATCTTTCTTGATAAGCTAATGTTGGCCTTATTTCTATCAATATCTTTCACCTGGCAAGAGATGTACACTTGTGATAAGGAAGCATTGGCAAACCAGAGTTACATGTAATTCACCTCATCAACTTCTCTTTTTTTGTCATATGTCAGAAATGGAAACTCAATGAAGTGAATTACTCATGAATTTGAAAGTTTGTTTACTTCCCCCAATAAGCATAAAGTTCCCATGTAAACTCCTAGATATTATGCCTCCAAAATTTTTTCTTACTGATTAAGTCCCCTGTCCTTTGTCATTTAGCTGTGCAGTCTAAATGCCCAGCAGAAGAATGGAGCAAATGCTTGTTTACTTCCTGCAACAAGCATAAAGTTCCCATGTCAAGTCCCAGATACCACTAACCTTTGTACCTCTACAAATTTTTTTTGCTGCCCTTAGTCATTTGGCCATGCAGTCTAAATGCCAGCAGAGGGGCACAGTCTTAAAAGGGCCAAGTGCTGGGCAGTCAGAAATTTATAAAGAATTTCTACTGAAGGGTTCTTTCAAATTTCTGAAAAGCAAAGATTTTTGTTTTGAAATGTGGCTACCAGGCATTTAGACACTGCATACATGTACCACTACATGTATTCAGAAATGGCAGACTGAAAACTGAGAAGAAAAGAGACTGAAAGAATGTTTTGTGCTCCTCTAAAATTTTCTGGAGAAACTTGGTTGGACTATATGGCAAAATCAGAGCTCCTGATTCAATTTGCATACTGTTGCAGGCACCAAATGACAGCTTGGATTTTGTTATTAAATCAACATACGACCATCACCAAGAATTCCTTCATTCCAAGGCTGAGACTTTAGTTCAACCAGAGACAGCAAATTTACCACATGGGTAAGGGATTTTTTTGTTGATTAAGAAGTAATGTCTCCCTATAATATCCATATATTATCTGGTAAACAGATCATGAGAATACTCATATTTATCAGGTAGTTGTTAATTTTTTCAAGTGCCATATTCTCATAACTAATGTACAGGGAAATGTGTGGCAGCTAGAGGCTAGAATTAATAATCAGATATTAGAATTAGGAGTTTAAGGATGAAACTCTGTGTAAGAGCAGTGTCACATGGCTTGATGTCCTGTTGTACTTAGTTATTTGTGGAGAGGAAGGTAGCTATAGTCATGTTCCTTAAATTGTAGTGGGTAAGATAGTGGTACAATTAGCCTGTCTCATCTGTCGAATTTTAACTCAAAATGTAATTACTGTAATGTCATTTTTGTCATAAAAAGTCTGTTTACGAGCCTAGTGGCCCATTAGGCTGGTGCTTAACTCCGGTTTCTGTAGCATGAAGCGACTAGGAGTATTTCTACTCCCCCCTGGATGGGATGCCAGTCCATCGCAGGGTTACCCCCAGCATGAAATTGCCGGTATCCATTTATACACCTGGGTGAAGAGAGGCACTGTGAGAGTAAAGTGTCTTGCCTAAGAACACAACACAATGTCTTGGCCGGGGCACGAACCCGGACCACTCAATCTGGAGTCGAGCGCACTAACCATGAGGCCACCGCACCTCCATTTTTTTGTTGTAGACGTGTCTTAAAGAACAGACCTCCTCCAGAAGCACCAGAAATTGATCTCTACAAGCTTCCACTGATGAAAAGCACTAGTGTACAGCGGCAGAGCATACACAGTATAAATGGTGCTATTGGTAAGTATGCATATGTAATTGCCTTTTAAAATCTTTTTCGTAAGATTTAGAGGAGCTTTGCTACATCACAGAAAATTTCCCCCTGATTGTTACCTTCAATCTGAGTCAATCTACTTTACCCTTAGCCCTTTAATTCCCTGGAGTAACCAAGAAATAATTTCTCTTTAATTATTTACAATATCAATACAATATCAAACTGACAAGCGACGAGAAAAAAATAAAGACATCCGTTAGGGGATTATTAGTTGATCCAATACCAAATTCTCTGGCTAACATCATAAGAATTGTATGGCAGAGAGTAAGGAGAATTACTACTGAGATGTTCGGAGTGAAAGAGTTAAGTATTCTTGTTCCTGTTTAGGTTAATGAACTGAAATATTCTGTACCTCCTTAATAATAATAATAATAATAATAGCAATAATAATAACACCTTTATTTAGACACGATGATGTTTCAAGCTGAAGAGCTTGTGGGGTCATGTGTAAGTCCAAATAAACTCTAAATTAAATAAATTCAAATGATGATGGGTTTTGAGGAGAGGGGAAAACCGGAGTACGTGGAGAAAAACCTCATGGAGCAGAGTAGAGAACCAACAAACTCGATCCACTTATGATGCCGGGTCTGGGAATCAAACCCAGGACACATTGGTGGAAGGCTAGTGCTTTCACCACTACGCCAACACTGCTCCCCCTTTAAACTTATGGTAACTGCAGGGCTTGACACTAACGGTTGCCCACTAGCCACAGACTAGTAGAAATTCAGTTTTGGCTAGTGCTTTTCAATTTCCACTCACCAGTTTGGCAAGTAAACAAAGTGAAATTGTTGTAACATCTAAAAACATGTAAGATGTCACTAGCCACTTGGCTAGTGAGTTGAAAAGTTAGTGTCAAGCCCTGTAACTGTTTGACCCCCATACCCTTGCAAAGACAGAAATGATGTGATAAAGAATAACATCCTGATTCAAACTTGTTTTTGCCTATCATAGAAAGTCACCACAGTGCAGCAACAAATGGAGGGTACTCAAGAAAACACGATGGAGGATTTTATACTTGTTAATATTCTTTTCTCGCTTTAACTGATTGATGTGATCTGCAAAGCTACATCAAGACAAACTCATATGTACAGACATTGTGTGTAACTGCAAGTTGTAATCTTTTACTAAGTTACTGGTAAATGTAAATTTGCTGTCTTTTCTCTATGTATCTCCTGGTTTATTTTATATCATTACATTTTGTGGCCTCTATAAGATGATGATTTTTCACTGGATGTGTAACAACTATTTCATAAACAAAGATACAACAATAATGACATATGACCTCTTTTAGTTTAAATCTACTCACGAGTAGGATGCAAAATTATTATTATGTTAATCCTTTCTTGTCTTTCTAATAAATTTGTGTGATCCTACAGAAAAATATTTCAATAATGTCACCTTTTAATTTGTAGAATTGAACTAAAAATTGTAACTTTCAAATATTAATTGCTGATTTTTTAAGGTACCGAAGGCTAAAAAAAATATTTTGAGCTAAAAATTTGCACCAATAATAATTTTATTTTAATAAAGATAATTATGATAATCCTGAATTCAACACCAGTCTTCATTTTTTTTCTCTGTTAAGTGAGAGTCAGCCTCTAATGCAACTTAATAATGAGGTAATAAATAGACTTCATGGGGTACACTTGATCAAGGTCAATTTTTAAATTCTGACACAGTGAAGAGTAAAAAACAAAACAAGAATCTTGTCTTGACATCAAATATCCCAGGGCCTGGTTGGCATGTTTTCATTATTTCCACTTTGTTCTGCCACAATTTCCATCTGTTCTATTCTGATGGAGTTATACACACAGATAGGGCAGGCCGTTGGCAAGAAACCTTCTTGCCTCAAGTAAAACTTCAACAGTAGTTTCGTGGTATGCTTCAAAGGCATAACCAACTCTGACATTCGTTGCTGAAATTCTGGCAAAATGAACTCCTGGAAATACACTCTTGGAAAATGATGGTTACAAGTAAATAAAACAACATCAGCTTGCAGTTGTACTTCAGTGATCAACTCTCCCTCTCCGGTCCACCCTCTTTGTTGAGAAACTGCCGCAGATGCTATGGTAGCTGCAGCAGTCATGGATAAAGCAATATATGGATGTTTTTCCAAATCTTTTTTGATATTGACTAAGATCTCTTGCCAGAGGTGTTTCTGCGCTGCATGGAAGTCTTGTAGTCGAATGCCTGCATCTAGATGTGCAAATGGCTGGGCAAATATTCCATCTTTTGCTCTGGTAGAATCCTCTGTACTGCTGTACCTTGCAAGAATAGATTTTAAATCTGAGGCATATTCTTCACCCAAATCATCCTCTTGTAGCTGATGAACCACATGAGTTACAACTTTGTTGAAAAATTCAACACTAAACTTTGGTGGCATTGTTTCGCCTGTGTTACTAATTTCTGCAGAACCTGACTCTTGAGCATCTTTGTTTGGTGAAGAAAGGAAATGATCTCTGAAAAGTGAAAATTATATGGCGGTCAAGCTTTAAATCAAAGTAGAGTACTTGTAGAGTACTTCTAGTTTACATTTACACTTTCTTGTACCATTGTCTCATGCCTTTTTGGCCAAGTCCATTTTACTTGTGTGTGCTTGGTTGCCAAGCCTTTGAATGGGAGTGAGGCTAGGGTTGACCTTGTTATGATACAAACCTTGCTGCCTTTCAAATGTAAATCACTTTGTTATCATGCTAACTAGATACAGGTCTCTATCACAACAAGGTCACCTTCAGTCTCACTCTGAATCAAAGGCTTGGCAACTAAGTACACAACTGTAAAATGGCCAATTCTGAAAGGAATAGGCAATGTTGTTAGTCTCTAAAAAGGGAACTACATTATAACCACACCTATCCATCTTTACCCACTAGGACATCATAAGGGGGGAAAATTATCATGATAATGAAAATAATTTTGAAAAGCTAATTACTGAAAAGAAGAAAAAATTTATTCACTTTTCTGACTTTTTTTAATAAGGGAATATCAAGTTTAAATTTGCAGAATTTTATGTTGGAATCTAAGCTTAGGTCTTGCCACTAGTAGATTTTAATGTGTCACTGGAAACTAATGTACAAGTTTATCAATTAGATCATACACCTTTTTATATGAACTTTATTTTGCACAGGAAAAGGTTTGTGAATTAATTATGGGTAATTTTTTTTCTGGAAAATAAATATCAACTAAAACTGTAGACCTTTGGATATAATTTATGACAACCAAAATTACCTGATCAACAATAAGCTGAGAGCATAGCCAAGGATATCTAAATTCTCAAGAAAAAAACCCTCCAAACTCTCAAATGGGAGATTGTTGTGATTCCAAAACTGTAAAACCTACAAAACATGATCAACAGATTAAATGCAGAGGGAAGTTGATACAAAAAGAAATAAGTTGTATTCATATTACTATATAATTAATAATAAATGACAGATAACAAAATAGCAAACACAAGTAATCCTTAAGTATGTTGAACTCTTAATGCTTCCAGAAATATACTTTTCCTGTCAAAGAACAGATAAATTGCTTCCTAAGAGACAAATATTAACAAAACATGCTGGGCTATTCACAAGATAGAGATGTACCGGTAGTGGGTTACAATATCCAGCCTTCCAACAACCACGGCATAATGGATCAGGAAAATGAATGACAGCCACAGAGTTTACCGTTTAACTTCCAAGATCTCAGTGATTGTTAAATTCTCCCCTCTAGCTGCCACACATTTCCTTCTAAATTAGTTATGAGAATTTGGTGCTTGATCTCGATAATAACTTCTACCTGATAAGTTTGAGTATTCTCATTACCTGTTTGCTGTAAAATGTATGGATATTATAGGGAGAAGTTACATGTTAATCACTTCTGGGAGTTAAGGGGTTAAAAGAATTAAAGAGGCACTGTACCTCTTGTAGTAGCCATACAGTCTGTTGTGTTGATTGTTCATCATTCATTTGGGATTCTGTGAATTTTCTGAGGATGAATGCAAAATGCAGAAATCAATTTCTTTTCAATAGCATAAGTTTACATCAATGAAATCACTTTTAACATAATTATAACCTCTTGAAAACATTACCTGATTACATGATTTAGGATGTCAAAAGCTGAAGAAAGGAGTTTGTCCCTCATTCCATCACAAGATATAGAAGTGTAACAATCATTAAGAAATCTTAAACTGTAGCCAAGAACCTAATGACAAAAAAAAAAATAAAATCAACTTTATTTGACCTCACACTCTACATAAATCTTTCCTACACGATTTTTTAAAAAATTTTTCTACCTATATCAAACGTTTTCATTATTCTAGAGTTTCCTTCAGCATTACTTGTAAATCAGTTTTCTACACGATATGTAAGGATTTCAAAGATCAAAAAATGGCTCCTTTAAGGTTTGTAATTATTGTTTGTCAGTACAATGTACCTGTGGCCAGTCACCCACAGTTTCATAAATAACTGCAGCTGCAAGAAAATCCCTGATATCCAAACTGTGCCTGAAGAAGAAGAGTGAAATAAAGATGCTACTCCAAGACATAAAGACGATCAAATACGTTACACTGTAACAGAGTAGCAAAGTAATTTGTACTGGCATGAGCACTTGCCTCACAATTAACCAGATTCTGTGAATTCAAAACAATACCAAGCTGAACTTTTCTGTTGGAGGTTTCAGGTGGCCTCATAGTTAGTGCGGTTGCCTCTGCATCAAGTGGTCTGGGTTTGAGTCCTGGGCCACCTGGTGCATAAGCAGGCTTTACCTTTACCTAACTTTTCTGTTACTCTTCTTTAAAAACTTCCTTTGTTACTGACATAAAGGATATGTTTAACAACCAAAGCTTCCTAGCTTCCTTTATTCTCACAATCTTAATGAATGATTCTGCAATTTTACTACAAGGAGAAATTACATGCTGATCACTTAGGGTTTAAAGGGTTATTATCTTTCTTAGTACTGTAAATCCTCTAATAAGCTAAGCCCCCCTCCCCCTCTCTAATAAGCCCCTCCCCAAAAAAATACCTGAAACAAATAAGCCCCCCAAGGTAATAAAGCGCCCCAAAGTAATAAAGCGCTTTATTTTAAACAGTGGTTTAAAGGGTTATCTTTCTTAGTACTGTAAATCCTCTAATAAGCTAAATCTCCCCCTCTCTAACAAACCCTCTCCAAAAAAATACCTGAAACAAATAAGCCCCCTAAGGTAATAAAGAGCCCCAAAGTAATAAAGCGCTTTATTTTAAACAGTGGTTTAAAGGGTTATCTTTCTTAGTACTGTAAATCCTCTAATAGGCTAAGCCCCCCCCCCCTCTCTAACAAACCCTCTCCAAAAAATACCTGAAACAAATAAGCCCCTCAAGGTAATGAAGCACTTTATTAGTGGCAAACACACCTGAACTTACAACAAGTCCCTATGCGTAGAGAGCTGCGTTCATCAGTCTGTATTAGACTACAGGTTCCTTTAGAAAAGGGGACCTTTCAAGACACCTCAGCCATTTTATTTAATAATCTACCAAAGGAACTGAAAACCTGTGATGACTTGCATATTTTTACATTACGTTTATTTATTAAATACTTAAAAAACCGAGCAAAGGCACGCCTTTAGTAATTTTAAATTCGTTTGAGTTTTAAGTGTATACAGACTGGAATTTTAAATTTATGATTGTAAATATTAAATAGGTTTTAGTTGATCCTATAATGTATTTAGTTAGTTAGTGACAGATGAAGAGCCACTCTGTGGAAACACTGTTAATAAACCCTTTACTTACTTACTTAGTATACTTACTTACTTA